CTAGCCCCTGCCTGGCCCTTGCGAGGCCCTGGAGCAGGCGGCTCCTGCGAGGCAGGGAGGCCCGGGGTGCGTGTGCCCCAGAAACGCCGGGGCCACCCTCTGTTGTGAATTTTTCTATCACCTCCAAGGATTGCCTGCCGGGCAGGGCGCCGGGCGGCTCCCAGGTGAGGTGTGACGCTCGACCGGTGACCGGTGACGGGGCTGGAAGCCCAGGGGCCACTGAGCCCCGCGGTCAGCACGCAGCCACGGCGCCCACCCTGAGAGTGGAAGCCGCGGCTCCCGGGAAAGGCCCCTCAAAGGGGTGGCGCACCCGCCGCGGGCAGGCCAGAGAGAGGGCGGAGGGCACGGCTGCAGGCCCGCCAGACGGCCTCCGGAGGGCCCTGGGCAGCCGCGCCGAGGGCCTCTGCCCAGCGCCGGTCTCCACTCGTGCGGGCCAGGGGACCAGGGACCCGCCTCCCTGCCCTGCCGGCAGTCACTGGGCTTTGAGCAAACACTTTTCACAAATAACAAACCTCTCGAAATTCTCTTCCTGTCTCCGGGGCGGGGCGCAGGCACGTGTCTGCAGCTACACCCCCGTGCACACCAGCCCCAGCGGCCGGCCCTCCCCACCGGCCCGCCAAGGGCTGACCGCGTCAGGCTCCCCCGGCCCGCAGGCCAGGGCCCTCACCAGACAGGAGCGGCTGGAGGACGGCAGAGCCCGCGCCGTCGCCCCCAGCCTGGCCCTGCAGTGGGAACCTGGACGCCATGGAGCCCGGCGGTGCCCAAGGGAGGGCCTGCTCCCACGTCCACGCGAGACCCCTGACCTCCTGAGACGAGGCCCGTCCAGGATGACAGCACAGGGGCAGGGCAAGGGCAGGAGGGGGCGCAGGGAGGGGCCCCCGCGGAGGAGACCAGAGCAAAGGCAAGCAGGTGGGCACTGCCCTCGTACAGGGACTGACCTCTTCCCACTCCACTCAAGCCGCGGGAAAGACTTCAAGGCCTGCCATGAGGAGGGTCAAGGACTGGCCTCTGCCAGGGGAGGGGGAGCTGGGGTGGGGGCCTTGGGCCTCCCTGGATGCCCGTGGCGGGGCTGCTCCTGGCCTGACGCAGGCCACAGCCCAGCACTGCCGGGACAGGCGTCCCCAGGGACGCGACAGGAAGTGGCCTTGCAGACAGCGGGTCCAGCCCTGGGAAAACGAGAAGCCAGGGACCGAGAGGGCAGGGGCAGGCGGTCAGCACGGGCGCCCTGGGGGGCTTCCCCCCACCCCCCCACCGAGGACGGGTCCAAGAGCCAGGCATCACGTGACACGTGTCTGGCTCAAAGGCCCCTGGAGACCTCGGCGTGTCCCTCGGGGCCCCCGCGGCGGCTTGCAGTGACCTCGCCCAGAGAAGAGGCCCATTCAGGGTGGATGCGCGGGGCCACCCGTGCCAGGAGCTGCTCGCAGGCTGCGGGGGGAGGCTTGGGGGACAGAGGCCTGGCCTGGAGGCCTGGCGGACACCTAGCAGGGCCCCCAGCTGGTGGCAGCAGCCAGGAGGGAGGTGGAGGGCGCTGCCTGGATGTCCAGGCACTGGCTGTGGGACGTCCCTCCCCACTGGGGGCTGTCGGAGCTGCCCCAGGCAGTGTCCCGGCATCAGTACTGCGGGTTGAGCCAGCCTGGCGGGCCCTCCACCAGCTCATGGGTACCCACGGGGCTCACTCCAGGTGAGCCAGGATGTGCCAGGATGGTGGGGGCTGAGCTGGCCCTCGCAGGGCCAGGGAGAGACTGACCCCCGTGGGGGACACTGCTCTGGACAACAGGGGCCCAGAGCACGGCCTGGCGAGAAGTCGCCAGCAGCCCAGGTGCGGGTGCAGCGGGTGGGCCCGGCCCAAAGACTGGGGCGCCCCAGGAACTGCAGCCCTGGGCACCCACAGCCCAGGCATGGAGGGGCGCGGCCCAAGGCCCCTGGCCACCAGCACACGCAGCTCCGCCCTGCCAGGGTCCTGGCCCTTGCCTTCGAGCAAAACAGGCGCCTCGGGCAGGGCAAGGAGAGTCATCCCCACCGGCCTGGCCACCGCATGAGGTCTCGGACACCAGCCCCCAAGCGAAGGTCAGCGGCCCCGGCTCAAGGTCACCCACATTCCAGTCAAAGCCACTCCCCACCAACTGCAACCGCAAGGAAACTGCGCCATCTTGGTCGAGAGCAGCGTGAGTCTGGGCTTGGGCCCAGCCATCTTGTCCTCGTCCCCTCAGCTGCCCGAGGGCAGGCCCGTCGCCCAGCGGAATTACCGGTTCTCCCCGCAGGAGACCGCCTGCTCCGGTCAGCGCCAGGGTCCAGCAGCAGCGGGGGCGCCCAGCGGCGGCAGAGAGTCCACCAGAGGAGCCCCAGGGCCCACAGGCTGCACCCCACACGCTCCTCCGTCTCAGCCTCTGACCAGCGGCAGCTGGAGCGGCTCAGCGCTGGCCCAGCAGCGGCTCCAGAAGGCCCATCACAGGGCGGCCAGGAAAGAATCCAAAATAACACAGCGCTTGATGTCTTTCAGCAGACAGGTAACCTCACGCTGGACACTGACCTCCGTGGCCGGACACTGACCTCCGTGGCCGGACACTTGGCACTGAGAACAGAGTCCGAGGGGCCTTGCACACTGAGCCCGGCCTCTGAAGGCCTCCATTTCCAACGGAAATCCGAGCGTAACGGCTTGTTTCAAAGCAAACATCTACCTTCAGAAAGGAAAGAAGTTTACGTCTCAAGACGTGTCCTAGAAAGCAGGCGCCGTGCAGTGGACGTGGGCAGGACTCTGGAAAGGGCACAGCTGTCCCCCGCCCGGGGCCATGAGCAGAGGGGTGGGGGCACGGCTCGCCCCACTTCGGGGCGTCATGAACGTGGGGGGCACGGCTGGAGCGAGCTCTGCACCTGCGCTGCGTGAAGGCAAGTGCAATGTTCCAAATGGAAACGGGGAGACAGGGCCAATCAGAGGTTGTCCAGGCCTACGCGCTCCCCGAGAGCTTGCCCCGGCCTGGAGGGCGCGCCTGCCCCAGGGCCTCCTGCTTTGCTGTTTTGCGCGTCTCCTCCCTGGTCCCCTCTGGGCCCAGTGCTGGGCTCACGGCCGCAGACACCCAGCCCGTCCCGCCACGTGGTGCCCACCACAGCCTGCACGGCCTCACAGGGCCCCGCGCTCTCGGGACCACCGCCGGGGCAAACTTCCTCGCCAGGCCCCAGTTCTGCTGACGCGGAGACTGCACCCCGGCAAGCGACACTCCCAAGTGGGCGCCTGTGCCCCAGGTGGGCAGGTGGGCGCAGCCAGGGGTGGCGGTGCCGCCCCGATGCAGCGGATGGGCAGACAGGCCCACCGGACAGAGCCCAGGAACCTGCGGGGAGCCCCCCCTACTTGCTCTCTTGGCAAATGAACTGGCATGTGCTCCCCTCCCGTCTCTGGACGGGAGGCGATATGAGCACTCCATCCATTCCTTGGAAATATTTTTAAAAGTGTGCCAAGCCCCCACCAGCACTCTGTGGCCATACACCCCGTGTCACGTAGGAAAACGGCTCTGCGCCCCGCAGCACTCGGGGAGGGGGTGGCCCCGTGGACCTCGGCCCTCCTGCCTCCCGGGGGCGCCCAGAGCCTCCCCCCGCCCGCAGCCTCGGCAGGGGCTGAGAAGACCTGGCAGCCCCGGCCCCGCGGGCAGGAGCGCTCCGGGCAGATCAACTGTCGGGTGTGAAACGCGCCTCCGGAGGCCGCGGGGAAGCGGGAAGACCCAGCCGGGGCGGCCCGTCTTCCCCTGCGGCGCCGCGGCCGCCTCCCCGTCAGAGGATGGCCAAGTCGCCAGCGCAGAGCAGGGCTGCGCCTGGAGAAAGTCAGGCTAATTTAACCGCAGACCAACGAGCAGGTTGAGGGCAGACGTGCTGAGGTCGGCAGACGCGGGGCTGGGGGACGGGGAGACATGACGCCTGGGGGCCCACGCGGGCCGGGGAAGCTGGTGGTGAACACTGGGGACCCGGCTGGAGGAAAAGCTGGATTCTAGGGTCCAGGACCGCAGCCGGGGAGAACGTGAGGACGGGGTGACTGGTCTCCAGCGGCGCGCGCCTGGGGAAGCCGTGCGGGCGGGCAGGCGGGGGCAGCCGGGGTGTCGGGTCAGCCCAGGCAGCGCCCGCTCTCCTCCCAAGGGGAACTGAGCTCTAAGGCGAGCGACCTGCGCCCCTGCCCCCATGGCGGGAAGGCGGCAGACACAGGCCTGGCCCTGGCCCTGGGGGAGGCCCGCCCTGCCCTTCCAGGAAGCCGCTCTCCCGCTCTCCCGGCTCCAGCCAGGTCTTTTATTACAGAGGACAAAGGTGGCACCTGTGTGTGCTCCGCTGGGGGCACAACTGGACCAGGGCCAGGACCCGCCGCCTCGCCCCCCCACTCCCGCCAGAATTCTCAGGTGCAGGTGACAAACTGACCTCGGGGCCACGACGGGGCACAGGTCAGTGTCGGGGAGGAACCTGTGGGGGCCTCCTGGGCGGGAAGAGCCACTTCCGCCCGCCGGGCCGCCCCTGCCAAGAGCCTCCTGCCCGGGCCGCGGGGAGCCGCCGGGAGCCTGCCCCGCGCTGCCTGCCCCGCACACCTGTGCGCCCGCACACCTGTCCGTCCGCACACCTGTGCGCCCCAGCCCAGCCCGCGCGCTCGGGGCCAGGAGCCCCCGCGGGCCGGCGACTCGCGCGCGCCCCGGCCTCCCCTGATCGCTCGCGGGCTGCGTGGGGGAGACTCGGAACTTCACTCGGGCTCCGCGGTGCTGGGACCCCGGCGACCCCGCCTTCCCGGCACGAGCGGCCCCGACGGGCGGGAGAGCGGCCCGCAGCCCCTCCAGGAGCGCGCGCCGGCCCTCGCTGCTCTCCGGCGGGTCCCCGGCGAGCCCGGGGCCCCTCGGCAGCCGGGGTGGGGCTCGCCCCGCAGGCTGCCCCGGCGCCCAGCGCGCCCGGCCCCGGGGGACGGTCCTCGGCTCCGCGCAGCGGCCCCGGCGCCCGCGCCCTCCCGCCCTCCCGCCGCCGCCCGCGCGGGCACTCACGCATCTGTGCAGCAGCGTCCGCGCGAGGCCGCAGTCCATGGCTCCGCCGGCCGCGCCCGCCGCTCAGCGCCCCCGCGCCCGGCTCGGCGCGCCCATGGGCCCGGCCCGCTGCGGCCGCGCGCCCCGCCCCGGTCACGGCCCGGGCGCGCGGGGCGGTGCGGGGGGCGGCCGCGGCCCCTCGGCGCTCATGCCCGGCCGGCGGCCGGGGTGGGTGGGCGGCGGGCGGGCGCTGGCCGCGGGCGCTGGCGCCGGAGTCCGCGCGGGGCGGCGGGCGGGGAGCGCGGCCTGCTCGGCGCCGGCTCCGCTCGGCTCTGCTCTGCCCGCGCGCGGCGCTCCCGCCCTCGCCCTCGCCCCGCCCGCCGCCCCGCCCCGCCGCCCCGCCCCGCCCGGCCCGGCCCGGCCCGGCCCGGCCGCCGCCCGCGCGTCACGAGCGGAGTGAGCATGCGCCCCGCGCCCCGCGCCCCGCGCGCCCCGCGCCCCGCGCGCCCCGCGCCCCGCGCCCCGCGCCCCGCGCCCCGCGCCCCGCCAAGCCCAGCTGGGAGGCGAGGCCCCGCAGGCAGGGGGCCCGGAGCGCCGACGCCCTGTTGCTCCCGCCTCGCCTCGGGCGGGCGGGCGGTGCCCTGCGGGGCGCGGGGTCGGGACGGGCGCGGGGGGCCCCTCCGGACGCCTGCCCGGGACGGCCGTCTCCGCCGACAGCGCCAGAGGCTGGCGCAGACCCGGCCAGGGCGGGTGCCCGGCGCGGGGGGCGTCTCCTGCGGGCGGCCTGGCCCAGGCGGCCTCGGTGGCCGCGGGGGTCAGGCTCGGCTCCCAGCCCTGGGCAGCGAGAGCGCGGGCGCCCGCCCGCCCCGGCCCCTTGGCCGGCCTCCCCGCGCCCCGCGCCCCGCGAGGCAGGGGCTCCGAGCGGCCTCTCCTGCGGCCCCCGGAGCGCAACAAGAGGCCCTCTCTGTCTGGCCCCATGGGGCGCCACCCCCCCACGCGCCCCCCAGAGGCCCTCAGGCCCTCCTGGAGGCCACAGACCCGCTGGTGGATCCCAGGGGGTGCTCCCGAGGAAACAACAGCCTCCTCTGCGCTGCCCGAGGGGGACGGGGGTCAGGCCCACCCCTCGCGGAGCCCAGCTGGCACTGTGCGACCGCCGGGCGCCCTGGACTAACTTCTGCCTGCTCTGGAGAGACCCTGGCCGATGGGCTGGACAGCCGCCTCTGGCGGGTGGGGCCCGGACACCTGCGTTCTGAGCGACAGAAACCAACCCCCTCGGTCAGCACTGGCCGGCTCGCAGCCCTCCACCTCCCCTCACATCCGCACCGGCCGCTTGCTGAGGGCTGGGGCCCGGCAGGCCGTGGTCTCCTCAGTGGACCTCAGCTGCAGACTGGAGCCTGCTGCAGGACTTCCCCTAACACGTGACTCAGGCCGGGCTCCACAGGGCCCCTGAGGCCAGCGGTGCCCACCTTTGGTGGGCCGCATGGTGGCCGTGGCCCCTGCTTCACACCCCGGCCCCCTCGAGGAGGCCTCTGCCCCGCACGGCGCCCCATGCCCAGGATGATGGAGCCGGCCGGCGAGAGGACAGGGCCCATCTCCGCCCCAGGAGTGATGATGACACGCTCAGCAGAGGGGACGTGTCAGGGCCCTGAAAAATCGGCCCTGGACATCCCCCCACACTGCAGTCGAGGGCGTGTTGAGTGTGAGTGTTGAGAGGCCCGAGGGCCTCCGGGCAGGAAAATGACTCAGACACAGCTCGGGCCCTCTGGGCAGCCCTGTCCCCGCCCAAAGTGACCCATAACCCTCACGGCCCCAGGGCCTTCTTGACCCAGGTGACACTTAAGGGACTGGCGGGCTCTGGGCCTGTCGAGAAAAGTCTAGCTGACCTTTTCGGGAAGGCCCACCTCCCTGACCCCTGGTTTCAAGCAAGTCCCAGCCCGTGAGTCCTGCTGGCGGGAGGTTTCCTCACTCCGCAGCCCTGAGGTGGCCTCGGCAGGCGCCTCCGCCCCAGCAGCGCTGGACAGGCAGCCTCCAGGCCCAGGCTGGGCCGCCCCACCTGGCCCGGCCCTCAGCCCGGGGCTCTGCAGGAGGGGTGTGCCCTGGGCCTTGGAGCGCCCGGCCAGCGCTCTGCCCCCGCCAGAGGAGGAGGGGGAGGCACCGGGCCTGATTAATTGGGCTCTGCCTCAGCGATGGGCAGCAGGAGTATACCAGCCTGAGGACACAGTGGGGGAAGCCCGGGGTGCCTGCGAGCTCCCCAGAGTGGCCTCTGTGTGGGCTCTTGCGGGCAGGATGGGCCTGTGGGCACCGTGCTCTCCTGACTGCTGACTGGAGGTCCAGGTCACCTCTGGACATGGTCACACTCTCTGCCAGGTCCACCTAGGGGATGGGCGCCCCCGAGGGCCTGGGGAGGAGGCCTGGCCATGGGGACGCAGCACTCTCCGAGTCAGCATCCTCCTGCGCCCACTGCCCACGCAAAGATGCCCACCGCTGAGTCTGCAGGCCAAGCCAGACCCAGGGCCGCCATGGGCAGTGCCCCTGGAGAGGCCACCAAGGGCAGTGCCCACCTGCCCTGGCTCCTGCCCCTTGGCTGCCCCGCCCTCAGCACCACAGCCATACGCGTGGCCTCCAGGGACAGGAGCCTGCGGGGGGTGAGCAGAGGGTCCAGATGGGGCTTGGTCACGCACCAAGTGCAGGCTCGGTGGGTGTGCTAGGGCCATGCTGCCGCCAGCCCCTGCACCACGAGCTCTCTGCCGTGGGGCTGGTCCCTGCCTCTTGCTGCCTCAGGCTGCGGTCCCTGAGGGGGGCCTCCCCACAGAGTGGGGTGCTCCCTCCTGGCTTGTCAGCAAGCCGAACTCTGCCCTCTCCGGCCTGGCCCCAGCGCCAAGGCGGTGGACTTTGAGGCTCTCAGCGCAGGTCCCACAGGAAGCCCCTGGCTGCAGGGCTGCCCGGCGCCCCAGGAAAGCAGAGGCTGGCCGCTGGCTGCAGGGGTGCCAGCGGGGGTGCGAGCTGGCAGAGGTAAAATTCCGGTCTTGTCCACACTCCGAGTCAGTTAGTGGCCACAAATTGGGTTAAGTGTCGGGCTCCTTAGACGCAAGAGCAAACATGTTCCCTGATGGCATCACAGCCAGTGACAGGGCATAGAACAGGCTGGGCGGCTCTTGGTCTCCGTGGCCGGGTAGCTGCCGCCATTGCGTGCCAGGTGTCTGGACCATGGGGGCTGAGCAGGCCTCCCAGCCCTGCCATGGGCTGGGGGCCATGGGGGCAATAAGGGGCAGGACAGTGGGCGAGCAGCCGGGGGACCCTCAGGTGACTGCGGCCTGCACACGCCCCTCCGCACAGCCCCTCAGCACAGTCTGTCCCAGGATCACCTACAGGACCTCCCAGGACAGGGCAGAGCGCTGGCCGGGCGCTCCGAGGCCCAGGGCACACCTCTCCTGCGGAGCCTTGGGCTGAGGGCCAGGCCAGGTGGGGCGGCCAGGCCTGGGCCTGGAGGATGCCCAGCGCTGCTGGGGCAGAGGCACCTGCCGGGGCCGCCTTGGGGTCCATGGGGGCTGCCAGGCCCTGTGGCGGGGCACAAGCTTGCGTGTAGCCGGGGGAGGGGGGACAGGCGTGTCACAGAAGGTGACCGGGGTGGGCCGGGGGCGGCATGAGCATCGCTGGGCGGCTCTGTGGTCTGGCCCCCCGGGCAGAGCGTGGTCGGGCTGCAAGGGCCGCGTTCCCTGGCTTCATTGCTGCTTTTAAATTCTGAAGAGAACTTGTGCCTCTTCCTCTTCTCCCTCACTCAGACCCCCGACTGCTGATTGACCCTGGGGCTGCAGCCCCTGCCCTTGAGGGGAGACTCTCGTGGCCCGCGGCGCCTCTGCCTGCCGGCCTCTCTCCGGCGCCCGTTGGCCCCGGGCCCATCGTACAGCAGGGAGCGAGACTAAGAAGGGTGATGTGCCCAGGTCACCAGCCGCCCTGAGCCGTGTGGGGGGGCCGTGCACCCCAGTGTGGCCTGGCCCCGAGAAGCAAGCAGGCCGGCAGCGGGGCCCTCGCCCACGTGGTCTGCATCTCCAGGGCTCAGGGCCCCCACATCCCACCCTGGCGAGGCATGCGGGCCCCGGCCGGGGTGTGAGTGCGGGAGTGCAAGGGCAGCCAGAGTCGGGGCAGGGAGGCCTCCTGGACAGATGCTGCAGACGTGCGCCTGGGCTGCCCCTGCTGCCGGCTCGCACACCCACAGGGTGCCCCTCATGAACTGGAGCTGCCGGTGGGGCGGCCGTGGGTCTCCTGAGCCCTCTGAGACGCCTGGCCCCTGGGGGGCTCTGGGCGGGGGCGCAGGTGGGCTCCGGGCGGGCTCTCCCCCGAGCTTGCCGTGAGCTCGGTGTGCAGATCTGAGCCCTGGGCCCGAGGCCTCACCTGGGCGGAGGCCTCTGTGCAGACCTGCCCTCACGCGACAGCCCGCGTGCCGGGCGAGGGGGGTGGGGGGTGGAGGCGGGGGCAGGGCCTCCTCTCCCATCCCTCTCGTGTCAGTTTAATCATTTCCCGGCCGAGGGCCGGGGGAGCCGTCTGCACGCCCGTCCCAGCCCGCCGCCCCCGCCGCGGCAGCCGGACACGCGATATCAGGCCACCTGTCTCCCTCCCCCCTTTCTTTCCAGCCAGGCTGCGGGCATCAAATTTCCACTTTATTTCCTGCAACCAGTTCCAAGTAATTACTTCAACCTGCTGAAGAAAAAACATTAATTGTGGGGAGAAGGAAGCCTGAAAGCTTATCCCTTCTGACTTATTCTCTCAAATCAAAGTCGAGGACGGCTCCCCGGGCTGCCCGGGGGTCTGTCGCCCCACGGCTGGGGGCCTGGCCCGGCAGGGGTGTCGGGCCGCCCTCCCTCTGCCCCACGGGGCGGCTGGAGCCCACAGGCCGGTGGGCCGCCGCCGAGGCTGGGCGGGAGAGTTAGGGGACCCGTGGGAGCTGGCCCGGGGTGTGGAGGAGGGAGCGGGGCCCCGATGGAGCCCTGATCTTCGGGTGACACGCTCATTGCCCTGGGTTAGCGCCAAAGTCCATGCACCTAGGGAAGCCGTCAATTTGGGGAAAACGGGGCACTGGTCGCCCC